GGGGGGGGCAATGTAACTGAAGGTGATAGTCAGGCATGGCCAACAGGATCAGGCAGTGCTCTGAAAACTGCAGTAAAGAGCAAAGCAAACTGACAGCACAGTGTCTCAGTTCTCCTCTTAAGAGCCCTCAGCCCGTTTTGCAAGCAGTTGGCTGGCTTTGCAGAGAAGCTATGTGAATATCAATATACCTTTATGGGAGGATGTCAGTCTGGAGGAGTGGGCATTAATAAGCATATTGGATTTACATGCAGACCACCCTAGGCAATGCCCAGATGTGATACTAAGCCTTCATGATTAAAAGAACTGAAATCCAATGAATAAAAGATGTAGGCCAGGGGCAGTCAGGCTCGGAGGAAAAACCTAGCCCAGGGGTAGGCAACCTCGACACATTAAGCATTGCAAAACTCCTGCAGCCACAAGCATGATTCCCAGAGGCAGAAGCATGATGGGATTTTTAGTTTCACCACAGCTGGAGTGTTGCACCCCTAAGTGTTGAAGATCAGAGTTTCACAGCTCCTCAATCATCTGATTCCAGGATAACTGAGTCATATAGAAGTGACATATATAGACTACATACAGAAGTCTACATTCTTCTTAACTACAGTGCTCCGCTACCTACTTCAGTGGGTCTGAAATTATAAAAGTGATTCCTCTAAAGACCTCAGATCAGATCTTTGATTCCTGGAGCTGGCAGACTTGCAGCTCCCCAGCTTTGTCTACCCATCTTGTCTAGTCAGGAGGGCACAGTAGTGTGCATATGCTATTCAGCTGCATAGACTTTGATGGGCTTCTTGTCAGCCCAACTATAGACTGATATACGGTAGTCCTTCATCCTGTGTCTAGCTGGCTAGAAAGAAGACAGGAAAGCCGAAATGCCACAGGTCTACCAGAATCAAATGCCTGAAGTCTGCACTTCCTGGTGGAGAAGGCAAGGAGACCCTTGGAGTGATCTTTTATTATAATGTCATGTCCACTTTAACATTGTTATGCACCTCCAGGAGCTGTAAGGTATACAGAAGGGCACATTTAGGGCTCATTCAAACCATGTGCAGAGACCAGCGTTTTTCTGTGCTCAATTAATGCTGTCTACGTGCCCCAATCACATCACAATTGAGCAGGGAGATGCAGAGAAATGCAACGCATGCATGTGAAATGGACATAAACCCAACAAACTTGAAAGAGAGATCGACAGGAAAAAAGAAGTGATGAACACTGGAAATAGGGAAAACATATAAAATGCACATCATCACAAGTCAAAGTGCAAAAAATGCACTGAAGCTTGCCTAAAACCGGATGTCAGCAGGTATCAATGCACGCCGTCGCCAAACCACCTGTGTTTTTTCATGAATTGCATGCACGTTATGGTGTGAATGAGCCTATTTAGTAATTACCCCAGATTTCTGCTCCTTCAAGAACACTTCACCTCACCTATACTCATGAGCCATTTCTCACTTCGCATTCCACCGTTATCATAACTTCTAAGATGAGAACTAACATTTATTTGATAGATCTTCCTATTTATAAAGCACCAAAGTGTTCTTCAGCACTGCGGCAGCTTCATCAGCATGAAAAAATCCGAAGGCATTGGGGATAATGTAGTAATGTCTTGCAGCTTAAATGTTCTGCTACAATGACTATAAAATTAATTAGCTATCACTTAAACAAACTGGCCGCAACTCCCTTTGGTCCCCGTTCTGTCTGTCAAGGCTTGTGTGCCTGCACACCCATTACTGATGAGATCAGCTCTCCATTGGCATTAGTAGATTGCCTAGTGATGGATTTTCCAAGATACACACCTGACATTTATTTCAGCTATTCACTCCTGCGGCTCTAGACACATTGGTCAGATCCTTAGAACAATACCATCTAGAGGCCTGCATGGCTACAGGGCAAGAGTCAAGGGTTGGGTTAGAGACTGGTGATGCACCAATACTGAAATACCTGATTTTACATAGCGGACTTTCTCTGCTCTCCAGATAATTAGCTGCTTCCATGTTCTGCATGTGTCCTCCTAAAGCTGACCATACACTGTTGGAATTTTGTTTTAAACCTTTGTTAATGACATTGTTAATCAGAGCATTCAATGCCATCATTGAGTCAAATAATTTTGTTGGGAAGCCCTTACAATTTTCGTCCAGTCTGGCTACTTGTATGGAGTCAGAACAAAAAGGAGGGTAACAGTGTTTTACCAGAGAAAACACTGTAGAAGAAGGTTATTAAATTGACAGAGACCTATAATTTTTATAAAAATATAAACTTTATTGATTACAAAATAATGTTTCCGGTGTCTGTTAATTCACTTCTCAAATTACTATTAAAAGAACAACGTTGTTCATGACACTCATACTCCCATTCATTCATACAAACTTAAACCTCCTTTTTGTTCTGACTACTTTTGGTTATATGACCTTGATGACCTATTTAAATGATTAATTAAATATTAAAGGGGATACTCAAGGTATATCAGAACTCCAGGGAACAACCTTCTTTTTTCCGATTACTTGGATGGAGTCCCAGCTATATTTAACAGTCAAGCAAAACAGATGACAAACGCACTCATCAATTCGTCACCAGCTTAGCAGTAAGGTGCACATGGAATGGGCTTTAAACAGTAAAATAGCAAAAAGTTTTCCTGGCACACTCACCACTCATCAGCTATATTTAACAGGTTCTTTTTGTGTGTAACACATGCACATTACAATTTTTCCTCAATTAATTTCATTCAGATAAGAAACCAGAAACATTTTCCATCCTGCTCCTCAATCTCCTCATTAAGCAGGCCGAAAAACAAATGTAGTCTAGACCTCACTAAGCTATTGGAATATTTTCAAAATGAAAATCTTCTACTGGTCTAGGGCCAGCTTTGCTATAGGTTTACAACATATTTTGAGTGTCGATGGGCTTTGGGCTTACGCTGATGGCATCAGTTTGAGATGCTTCTGAGATCATTCAGAATCCATTGCCAAAGCATTTGACTTGCAGTTGACATCCTTCTGACCAGCATTTGACTTGCAGTTGACATCCTTCTGACCAGCATTTGACTTGCAGTTTACCTCCTTTTGACCAGCATTTGACTTGTGGTTGACCTCCTTCTGACCAGCATTTGACCTCCATTTGACTTGCAGTTGACATCCTTCCAACCTGCATTTGACTTGTGGTTGACCTCCTTCTGACCAGCATTTGACCTCCATTTGACTTGCAGTTGACATCCTTCCAACCTGCATTTGACTTGTGGTTGACCTCCTTCTGTCCAGCATTTGACTTTCAATTGACCTCCTTCTGATCTACATTTGACTTGCAGTTGACCTCCTTCTGATCTGCATTTGACCTGCTTCAAGTAGGATTTGCATTACAATAGATTTGTATCAGAATGCAGAACCCATTTGAAGTCAACAAAAGCCCATCAACACAGGCCCTTTAACATCTAAAATATCCCCAAACCTTAAATTAACGTAAATGAACATCTAGGCTTCATAAATTACACATGCCAAGTTCTGCAGATTGCAATCAGAGTGTAGTAATGGTTCTATTTACCCTTAACAACATAAATCTTTGCAGGAACATTTTAAAGTTGAACTCCAGGCAAACAGCTAACTACACTATTACAATAATGATAAAACACTGTTACCCTCCTTTTTGTTCTGACTACTTTTGGTTATATGACCTTGATGACCTATTTAAATGATTAATTAAATATTAAAG